ATACATGTATTAAATTTTAAGATTTTTAATATTAATAAATTATTTATATATTATATATATTATATGATATATTGATAGTACATCACTTCAATTTGTCAATACTATAAAAAAATGAAATCATTAATTTGAAAAGGTAAGAGACATTAGTTAAGTGAAATGCTAGGGAGCTCTCAGGTCTCACATGACTATATATTCGCAATTTACTGCGCATTCAACAATAATAAACCCGTCAAGTAAAACAAATGTTTTATATCAACAAATAAATATCTTTTGATCTTTAAACAACCCATTCATTAAAGGCTTGTTAAACATTAAAAGTTATTTTGTATTGTGCTAGTACTAAGTTGATAGGTTTCAATCAATAAATGAACTCTAAAACCAACGGTCAAAGGAAAAAAGGAAAATAAATCAGGATCATTTCTTATTGGAGAAATTTTGTAATACATATAAATATAAAAAAAACAATTTTCCAACATAAGCAATAACAAAAAAAAAAAATGAGCATCGAAAAATTTGAAAAACTTATTTCTAAAAATATTTATAATAAAGATGTATGGGAAGAACTTTTAGTTGAAGTGAAGTCAAAAGATGAAGATAAAGTTAGATATATATACGAAAAATTTTTACAACATTTTCCAACATCAGTAAGTCTTTACTCAATTTCTTTTTTCTAGATAAACAAATTTCACATCTAATTTTTGTTTAATTGCATTCAATGTTTTTTTTATACATGAAAGCTAATTAAGATAATATTTTTTTTTGAAAATAGTTCTTTTAAATTAAATTCATTATTGTTGTTATTATTTTCTGTATATCCACTTATTATAATTTTCATATTATTTAATATACTTAATAAAACATTCATTCAGATTTTTTTTTTCTTTATTATAAATATAATTTAAACATATAACATAAATAAACACAAGTATTTTTAATAATATTTTTATAAATTTATTTAATTAGCCCAAACAATGGATACAATATGCAGAATATGAACTCAAGAACAAGAATTTTGATAAAGTGGAATCAATATTTACACGTTGCATTCGTACTGTTTTATCTGTTGATTTATGTAAATTTTACTTGAATTATATTTTAGAAAAAAATACAACAGATTCAGGGGCGATTTCACCTGAAGCCAGAGACATAATTATAAAAGCTTATGAATTTGTTATACATCTGATTGGTTTGGATAAGGATTCTGGCACAATATGGAATGATTATATTCAATTTATAAAAACCGGTGAAACTCATAATACTTGGGCAGAACAACAGAAAATGGATACATTGAGAAAAATTTATCAAAAAGCTATATGCATACCATTAAATAATGTTGAGCAAATTTGGAAAGAATATGATCAATTTGAAAATTCTTTAAATAAATTAACTGTGTGTTAGCTAAAACAATTTATTTCTTGAAAACTTTTTTTTTAAAAATTATTTATTGATTTTATCATTTTATTTATTTTTAGGCCAAAAAAATTTTGCATGATAAATCACCATCATATATGACAGCTAGAACCACAATAAAAGAATTAAGGAAAATTACAGATAAAATTGTTAAAAACATTATACCTGTTCCCCCAAAATGGACAAAACAAGAAAAAGAACAAGTAAATTTTTTTATCATCTATTTAGATTATTTTATTAAACATCCTAATAATTTAAATTTTTGTTCCCCATAATAAAAATATTTATAATGAATAGCTATCATATTGGAAAGATTGGATAGATTGGGAGAAATCAAATCCATTATCTTTAGAAGATCAATCTGCACTTTCACAAAGAGTTATGTATGCTTACAAACAAGCAATGATGTATTTAAGGTTTTATCCAGAATTATGGTAATTGAAAATCCTTCTTGTTATAACCAGATAAAGAATCCATTCACTTGATTATTAAAGTTTATTTGTTAAATCATTCTTAGGTTTGAAGCATCTAATTATTTGCAATCAGTTAAAAAAGAAGATGAGGCTGTCTCAACACTTAAAAATGCAACAGAAATAATGCCTACAAGGTAAGATTGTTTTTCGAAAAGATATGATTATATGAATTTTATAATTTATCAATTATAAAAAATTGATGAATACATATATTATCACTTTATTACATTAGTTTTCTTATACATTTTGCATATGCTGATTTACAAGAAGATCGTAAACAATTTGAGGAGGCAAGAAATGCATTCAAATCATTGTTAGACAGGTTGCAAGAAAAAATAAAATCTATTGAAGAAGCTACAGCCGAAGAAATAAATGAATTAAATAAACCAATCAGTTCTCCTACAGACAATTCTGTTCAGATGGAATTGGATGGAGAAACTCGTGAACAATTGCGTACTAAAGAAAAGGAAAAAGAAAAGGAACGAGCTAAAATAGAAGAAAATAAAAAAAACCAAATTAATGAAATAGCAAAATCTTGTGGTTTGATTTGGATTATGCAGATGAGATTTGAAAGGCGTATAGGAGTAGGTTTATCATTTATTGATCAGTTAAAATATATATATATATACATATAAATTATATCAAAGATTTATTATGCTTAAATTGAAAAATTTTAGGGAATGAAAGCAGCAAGGACAATGTTTAGTAAAGCAAGGAAATCTCCATATTGTACACATCATGTATTTATAGCTTCTGGTATGATTAAGAATTTTAAAATTAAATTTTAAAAAAAAATAATTATAATATTTAAAAATACCAATTTAATAATCAATTTCTTTAGCAATGATGGAGTATCATTGTAATAAGGATTTGGTAGTTGCAGGCAAAATATTTGAATTAGGTTTAAAGACATTTATAAATGATCCAGATTATGTAGTTCAATACCTTGACTTTTTAATATCACTAAATGATGACAATAGTAAATATTTATTTATTTTAATAATAATTTTTTTTTTATTATTTAGTATAAATCATTTAATTATTTACATCCATTTTATTTATTTATTTTATTTTTTATTTTTTTTGGATAATAATCAAGATGCATTGGCTTTATTTGAACGTGCTTTATTATCGATACCAAGTGATAAGGCTAAAATACTTTGGAAAAAATTCTCCGATTATGAAAATAATTATGGCGATCTTGCATCAATTTATAAAATTAATGAAAGACAAGCAAAAGAATATCCAGAAGGTATTATTAATTACTAATGTATTTTTTTTTAACACTCACTGCAAATTATTATTAACAACAGTGTTATTACTATATATATGTCTGGATATATGTATATATATATAGATTCAATGTTAAATCGATTTGTGAATCGTTTCAGCTATCTAAATACATATTCAATACTAAATGAGGAATTAGGGCAAAAATGTATGAAAAATCATTTTTTTATTTTGTATTTTAAAAAAAAATTATTTTTATTTCGATAATAATTCATATAAAATTTTATTTTATTTAGCTAAATTTGAAACAACCAAATTATCATCAATAATTGAATCGCCTCAAATCGAAGAAGAGAAAGAATCGGCACCAGTTCGTCGTGCCTTATTAGATTCTGTGCATCCAGAAAAATATCCACGACCAGATTTTAGACAATGGGTTCCATATAAACCAGCTGAACAATTACGTAGACAACAACAACAAGCACCCACTACTCAAAACGTAACAGGAAGTTCATCACTATCATCTCTAAATCAATCAACGTCAACTACATCATCAACATCAATAACATCATCAACATCAACAGCAACATCATCACCATCTATGTTTTCTCAACCAACAGCAACACATCTACAACACAAAAAAGGTACAGCAAATATATCTCAACCCATACCAAATGTATCTAGCATGCAACCATCCCCACCACCACCGCCACCGCCTCCTCCTCAAAATTATATACAACAGCCTCTAACTTGGACAATGTTACCAAATGGGTTAACATTACCAGATTCAATTGCAAAGTTTTTGGTAAGATTACCACCACCGACAAGTTATACTGGTATGAAGAAAAATAAATTTATTATCACTTGTTTTTAAAAACAAAGGTTTACATAATGTTTGATTATATCTATTATTTCCCAAAAAAATTTTTTTTTGGCAGGTCCTTTTATCAATGTTGACACAATAACAGATTTAATACGAAATATCAATTTTCCAATTATTCCAACAGCATCAGGTGTAATAACTGGTACTAAAACTACAACAGTCGATCAAACATCATCATCATCAACATCATCACACCAATTTTCGCAAATACTACAATCAAGAGATAGAACTAGAGGTGATAGTCCATCTCGTGCTGATGGTAATACTCAATCATCGAGATACCGTGATGGTGGTGGTGGAGGCAGTGGCGGGGGAGGTGCATCAGGAAGAGTTCGTCAAGGAGAATTTTTTGGAAAACAGAATCGGGTAAATGTTGCTATTGTTTTATAATATGTCATTTATATATTTTAATATCACATCAAAATTATTTATTAATAAGTCTAAATGTATATAAATATGTGTATGTGTGTGTGTGTGTGTGCATATATAGGGTCAACAGCCTACACCTAATACTCATGGTGGAAGTGATGGATCACAATTTGGCAAGAGAAGACGAAAAGATTTTGAAACTGAATATGGAGTTGATTAAATTAATATTAATAAATTAATGACAAAATTTTATTTAAATAATTTATATGTGAAATTTTATAATAATTAATTTTAATTAATATTTTGGATTAATCATGTTCTTGTTTGTTCATTTATTGATTAATTATCAATAAAAAAATAAACCTACATACAAGAGAAAGAGAAAGCTTGTTGATTTGTTTTATATATATATTTTTCTAATTGGTTGGTAATAAAATAAAATGTATTTGAATAAAATTTAAAAAAAAAAATGGCTTTGAAAATTTTTTCCTTTCAAAATACAATATCAATGCTTTTTTATAATAATAATAATAACTTATTATTATTAAAAGAATTCACTAAACAAAAAATCATCATTATTCGCCTTTCACTACCATTGCACCACTTACTACATACACATCTTTATTTACCTTTCTTGATTTATCAACAGCAGTGACAACTTCAACAACAATTAAAAAAAAAGCCAGTTAATATTTTTTTAAGTTTAGAACAAAGGTGTTACAGATCAGATTTTGCACCACGTAAAACTAAATATTGTAAAGGTAGAGTTCCAATACGTGTAGGTGGCTCAACAAAAGGTAATACAATAGTGTTTGGAGAATACAGGCTAAGAGTTACACATGGAGTATGTCTAACTTCAGCTCAGTTGACAGCAGCATATAATGCATTAAATGTAAGTTAAAACCAATAAAAGAAGCAAAACTTTGGATGAGGGTTTTTCCAGACATTCCAGTTACTGAATTTGTAGAAATCGATCAGAAAGTTGCTGTTGATGAAAATGATGAAAATTTAAAGGATAAGGAAACAATTGAACAAACCATCTGATATATACGTGTGTGTGTATAGATATAATATAATTGTTTTTTTATTTTTTACAAGATATGTTTTTTATTTATATTCATTTATTTATATAATATATATTTGTGTATATATATTTTAAAAAAATCTATTTGCATTCTGATTATTAATTCTTCTTTGGCTTATCTTTTCCTAGACATAAAAGAAAATTTCATTATATTAATATAGATACAGAAAAAAAATTTTATCTTACATAAAAAAGTTATTACCTCAAAAAAATCTTGTACATCTTTTGCAGTTATGGTTTTATTTGAATTTGCAAATGTATTTAAAAAATCAACGAGTTCATCTCTGTAATCAATGTAAATTTATTATTTCACTTATTATAAATGTATATATATATAAATTGATTGATTGATTTATAATTACTTTAGTTTAGAAAACGCAATCGCTCCTATAAATTTATCAATTAAAAAATCATCAGATGAGTTAGATGAATTTAGATGAATTAATTAATAAAAAGTTACCTTCAATAGCAGATACTCTATCCATTTGATTTAGTATTTTCATTCCACTTTCAAAAATAGAAGTTTCTTTTTTTTCAAATAAACTACTAGTTGGTTAAATTATTCAAAGTAAAAAAGTATATATATATATTGACAATACTTACGAGATTCATCATCATCCTTTGGAGGTTCGTAAGTTTCTTCTTCTTGAAGAATATATTCAATATTATATTGCTTATAAATATTCACACACTAACATAGACAATTAAACAAATTAATACATAAAAGATGATCATCAGTTATTGATTATCATTATTATTACCTTACTACAACGACACAATTCATCACGCCAATTTTGCTTACAAAACAAATCAATCTCAACTTGACTATCACCAGCACCATTAATAACATTAACAACAGTATTATTCCATTTTTCAAGTTTGCATGTCAACTTGTCACTGTCATCAGGCTTTGACTTTTTATTGTTATTAGTGGTAAAAGTAGTAGTAATATTATTATTATTTGTAAGGGTTGATGAAGATGACTCCTCCTCATTATCTTGATCATCTAATTTTCTTTTGTTACTATTGCTACTGCTGCTACTATTTGATGAATTTATGTCAACATGAAATGATTCCTTATTACTGTTGTTGCTGCTGCTGTTATTGATTGGGTTGTTGATTGTCTCTTTAGTGTTGACAGTAACTTTATTATCCTCAATTGCATCATCGTTATCAGTTACAATTGATTTTTCCTCTTTATCAGATTTATCATCTAATTTCTTCTTATATTCTCCAGGAATGAACATTGGTGAATTCTTGTATAATTTGAGGAAAGTATATTTACTAGTACATGTATGACAAATGTATTCGTCAAAATTTTCCAAATCTGGTAACTAAACATCAAATTTATCAATAAGTTGTATTTTTACTAATTATTATTAGTGTTAAGTCGTCAACAGTGGTTTTGTTATTAGTAGTATTAGTAAGTATTAGTAGTATTAGTAGTTACCAAGAATTTTGAAATTCCATCTTTCTCACCAGTAATACAATCTTCATGATACCAATCTTCGCATGTAACACACTAATATTCATTTGATATATTAAATAATGTAATATGTAATCAATTGGTGATTAAATAAATAAATGGTTATAATTATAATTACTTGAAACATATTTTTCTCTTCTTTTTCTGGATCATAATCGATTTTACACCTAAAAAATAAAAATGAAAATAAAAATAAATTGTTATTAACCAATCAAATAACCACAAACACGTCAACATGCACGTATATAAATACTGACCAACAAAAACGACCCTGAAAATTATGATTATAAAAATTAAATTCATTTAACGCGTCATGAGATTTTTTCTCAAGTTTACATGGTTTATTACCAAGTCTAGTAGTACCACAATCGCATCTAAAATTTCTTTTATTAAATAACTCTACAAGCTCATGATCTACCAATAATATAATTGCGATAAAAAAATTTTTATTTATTATTTATTCTAAACTTTTTTTAAAAACAAATTATCATAACATAATATTCTTATATTATTACCGTAATGACAAGACATTGAACAAGAATAACATATTCCACCATTTTCCAATTTTTCATTTGCAGGTTTACAAGTTTTACAAGCATATACAGGTTGACGAATGTAACCTTTGGAGTAGGTGCACTGATCAAAACTCCATGGTAAAACTTCTCTTGCTTCACGTTCTAAATAATTTTGTTGTTCGATAAATTCGGATATAGTAATTGTTTCGTCATTTTTTACTATTTCATCACTATTGTTTTCTTTTGAAGCCATATTATATGATTTTTTGAATTTTTTTTTTTTGTTCGTTAAAAAGTCTTTAAAGAAAATAGTAATCTTTTTAGAAGAAAATTTATGCTATTTATTTTATAATAATAGCTTAATTTTTTTTTTTCTTCGTCACGAAAACAAAAAAAAAAGAGAGAAGAAAGAAACCAATTGTATATATATTGATTGTTATTATATTATCATGGAATTTGAAAAAAAAAAATTGGGGTTTTGATTTTTTTACACAAAATTTTTATACTGTATATAATAATAATAAAATTATATAAAATTTCGTACGACTTCAATATTCAAAATAGTATAAATTGACCCCCAAAAATTATAAAAGTTTTGTATAAAAGAAAGAATACGTTTGAAGCTTAGAAATCTTAGTTTTGTAGATTTGAGAAATAATTGATATGAACGACCTTGTCTTATCTTACTTCTTATTAATAATAGACGGAAAAGAATACATAATAGAAAAAACCAATTTAATCATAATAATTTATTTTTAACAAGAATAATAATATTAGAATTTGTCGAAACTTGTAGTCAAAAAAAAAAAAAAGGTGAAGAAGTTTCAAACAAAATTTTGATAAATAAATAAATATTATTATTAATTACAAGTGGTTTTCAATTTATATTCAAAAGACTATTTATTAAATTTGACACGTATTTAACATTATCTGAATCATGATTAGAAAGTAGGTAGAAACATGTTTTACTTTTACATTTATATATTTATAAGAATAAACGCTATGAGAATTTCTTAAAAAAAAAAATAAAAAAATTTACTAATGTTATAAATTTTAATTGAAAAATTAGTATTCTTCAGGGTTTGGATTTTTATTATTTTATTGTGACACCCAATGTAAGCATGCAACTTAATGTTACGCTGTGTGATAAATTAAGAACTATGCAGGTTTCCTTTGTTAAAATATGTAGATCGCTGCTTAATATAAAAATTATAAAATATTACTCCCCTTCCTAATCGGCACTGTATAAAAGACTCTGCATAACTTGTGAATAAAAATATAGATTAAGATAAATTGAATAACTCAAACCTTGAAATTACATCTTGCAAAACAAAGATACTTTTTAAAATTCATTATTATATGATTTTTTTGCATTAATCACCATCTCTTTTAAAAATTATGCTGTTATATTATAATTTCATGAAATTAAAACATTAGAATGATATCTTAATAAGTGTGGATTAACATGGATAAAAATCAAAAAATTATTGCAATTGACCGTCGTTAGGTGAATGGTACCTTTCGTGATTACTTTTCAGGAATAAAATCCTAAACACGGAAGAGGTCGTTGAAAAAAACAAAGAAAGCCAAAAACATAATTTCAACAAAATTCACCCCATCATAAATTAAGAAATTTCTCTCTTTAACTTGATGCATTTTTTTTGTTGTAAATATTTTAAAATGCGTTTCCAAATCATTATACTTGTTATACAAAAATTTTAAAATCAGATTTTTGTTCATATGAAATCCATAATATCAAGGTTAATATTAATTATATATAAATTCTGCTTCGATATAATGATTTTTATTAGTGAAGTTTTACTAAACAAAGAAAAAGAAGATTGCATTTGAATCAATCACTAAAGTTTGATTATGTTAAGTTATTCTTTAAATCATCCAATTTTTTATTCAAGTGTGAAAAGGGCGCACACTACCATGATGACAGTAATATCAATTAATAATCCTATAGGGAAAATTTTAATATTACCAAAAGAGAGTACAGAAAAATTGTTTGTTACACACTATTCACAAAGAAAAGGAAATAATGTAACGGCTATACCCTCTCTATTTCATTAAAATACCTAGTCGAGTTTTATACTTTATATTTTTATAAAATGTCATATGTTAATTCATTATTATTAATACCACTAGAAAGAAGGGAATTCGTATATAAAATTTATCATAATGTTTGGGTTAATTCTTTTGATGGAGAAGGTAGAAAGGATTATTTTTTTTCATTAGTTGAAAAAAACAAGGAGCTTTCTGAAAATGAAAAAGAATATTGTAAAGAAAAGTTTATTTATGATATTGAATTACAGAATGCAACATATAAACATGGAAAACCAAAAGAATGTAACAAGTGTAAGTCAACAAGATACTCTGATGGATTCTGTGAAGGTTGTATTAATTTACAATTACAAAACCTTTTTACTACTTGGACATCTGGAAATAACATAATTGATAACTTTATTCAACAATGTCAAATGAAATTATCTCTGCCAAACAATATTTTAGAATGGATACCTTATCATAATTTTGAAAAAGTAACCAAATTGACTGAAGGTGGATTTAGTTCTATTTTTACTGCTATATGGACAAGAGGAAGTATTGTTGATTATGATGAAAATAAAAAGGAATTTAGTTATCATGAAGGGAAAGATGTAGTATTAAAAAGTTTAAATAATTCAAGTAATCCAGGAAAAGCATTTTTTGATGAGGTTGGTAGTTGTCATTTAAAACAAAAACAAATAATGCTGTGTTATACAATACTAATTGATTTTATATTTATTTCCAGGCAGTGAATTATAATAAAATTAAATCAGGATTGATTGTTTATTGTTATGGTATAACTAAATTCCCAGATAATGGAAATTATGCAATGGTTTTAAATTATATTCCAGAAGGAAATTTAAGGGGTTACTTGCAAAAAAATCATTTAAATTTAACATTAAAAGACAGAATTACAATCTTTATGTATTTATGTAATGGATTATGTTTGATACATAAGAAAGATTTGGTTCATTGTGATTTACATAGTGGTAATATACTTATGAAAGGAGGTGGTTGTTTTATTACAGATTTAGGATTATGTGGACCAATTGATGAAAAGTCATCAAATAAAGTCTATGGAATTGTATCATATGTTGCACCCGAGTTACTTAGAGGCAATAACACAAAGAATACAAAAGAGACTGATATCTATAGTGTTGGGATGTTAATGTGGGAAATATTTGCAGGCCATCCACCGTTTGATGATAGACCTCACAATCATCGTTTAATTTTTGATATATGTGAAGGTTTACGGCCACCAATGTTACCTGGAATGCCTGATGATTATGCAGAAATGATGCAGAAGTGTTTGGATGTGGATCCATCAAAAAGACCAACTAGTAGAGAACTTTATGGATTTGCTATTAATAAAGATAAGGAAATTCGTGAAAATAATGATGATAATAATAATATCAGTAGTAGTGGTGGTGGTGGTGGTGGTGGTGGTGATGATTCGCAACTAGTACAAAATCACATCCAGATGCATATCATAAAAGTAGAATATTAGATGAAGAGATTGCTAAATCTAAAAGCTTAAAAATTTACACAAGTAATAGTTCATTAAATAATCTTGATTGTAACTCTTTTCTCTAAAATGTTAACAAAGGTGAATA